AAAATCCGGAGATCTTAGATCTGAAATTCAGAAACTCGAGATCCTGGAAGTTTGGCTTTTAAATGCTGAGCCTTTAAAATTAAACAAAAACTTTAAGGTTTCTGCTATTTTAAGCGGTCGCAGATTTGACGGATAATTGAGGACCCCCAAAACGTTTGTATTATTGAGGATCCGGCCAGCTGCTGGACTACCCCTTACGAAAAATGACTGGTAGGTCTCCTTGGATAAGCGGACTTAAGAAATCGATAGTTTTGGACCTGGCTTGGAACCTTAAAATCCGGCGGAGTTTTGAGGTCCGCAAAATCCGGAGGTTTGAGGTTCTGGAAGCTCTGGACAAGGGGTTCTAGTCTAAGTAACAAAGGGTATGTTGGATTAGGACCCTAAACTAAATACTTCCTGCCTGCCATGGCATTCAAAGCAAATTAGGTGTATTTATTCTATACTTATGATTCTCAGAATTGTTTTTCTTGGCCGCGCAACTTCGCACAATTAAGGACCTACAAACGAACCTAGGGGGTGGAAGTTAACGGGATTTTACAGGCAGCCCTATCTAGCTCTTTCAAGAAACCCCGCGAATATGAAAGGCCGGGGTCGTTTAATAGCGAATGATCAGCAACATTAACTGGGCGCCAATTGCTCGTCTCATCATTCGGTCAGCTTTGATCAACGATTTTGCGGGGGGGCGGGGTCCTAACCCCTTACTGCTCATGGAGGGAACCTTGAGTCCCTTGAGGCACATACACTCTCGTAACCCCTAAGACCCTAAGAAATTGGAGGCTTCAGGTTGTGTAGGGTCCATATTCTATCTGCTTAAGGGGTACTAAACCCCTAACACACACACACACCCACACACACACACACACCACACACACCAACACACACACCAACACACACACCAACACACACACACACACACACCAACACACACACCAACACACACACCAACACACACACCAACACACACACACACACGCGCACACACACACACACACACACCCTGAACCCGAAACCCACCCTGGAGGCCTTCAGAACACGCTGCTGCACCATTCTGCTCAGCAACTTGCCCAGGGCCGGAGTCAGCATCCCCTTGTTTGGGTTTTGGGGGGTTAGGGTTTAGGATTTAGGGTTTGCATCGCTGCATCAGTGGACGCGCGGGGTGTGCGCCTTTCCTTTAGAGTTGGGGGCGCGCACCGTATCGCGCGCTGACGCAGCTTGATTGTCCCACCCCAGCCACCCAAACTATGCTCATTTGGGGTTCAACAATACCGGCAAGTACTTAGGCTCCTCCTGTAACAGAATGAAGGTTTAGGAGCATAACTAGGGCCCCTGTGAATGCCCATAGATACACAATCGTCATGGTCCAATTTGAGGATCCCTAAAGTTGGAGAACCCCTGTTTGGGTTTGAAGAAGTTTTGGGGTTGTGGTGCCGCGGTTGGGGCTCAGGGGCTCCAGTTGTGCCTACGCGGTACGTAGAAGAGCGGATGCATTGTCAGCTTCCTGACTCTCTGATTCATATAATTTCTCGGGAGAGCCTATCCGAGTAAGGCTTAGGAGTATGATTATTTTGTGTTGAATGCCAGGCGGTCTTGCGTTGTGACTGGACCGTCTTAGTGGCCTCATTCTTCCGTCCCTGGGGTTCTGTTTTGTCCTTAGCAATACCAACATTTCGACCTAGAATCTACAAGCCACAAATATAGCCGACTTTGAGCTAATGAGAGTCCTAGCTATGTGGGAATGCTGAAGGATTTAGACGGCACTGCCTCCTGCCTGCAGTAGTAGACCCATAACAAATTCGAGCAATGCTCAGTGGCGGTAGTTGTGACAATGGGGTAGCCTCAAAAGTCCTAGTCATGCAGTGCTGGGTTTGGGGTTGGGGGTTTACTGTTACCTGTTACCCCCGAACCCTCAGCTCTAAACGGTGTTTCAAAGGGTCCTCCGAAAAAAGATTGCGTTTTGGCTTGTTGAGAAGATGCTAAGCAGACCGCCATTCCTGTGCATGTCTTCTGAACTTCTGGACCCTTAATTAGGGAACCCTAATAAATTCAAAACTCCAAATTGAAACGCGACTTTGGGAATCTTGGGGCCATTGGCTCATATGCAGCACGTAGTGCGTGAGTTTCAGTTTGGAGGTTCCGAAACCAATCGCTTCTCCTCTGTATACTAGAATCACTTGAGGTATGCGTACTCAATACGCCTAACGCATGGTCGTGACCACAGAAGCTTCAAGTTTATTCACCGACTTCCGAACTAATGACAGCTAAATCTTGTGCAGGTCCTGGGGAAACTGGATTGGATCAGGAAAAGCAAGCACACGCCATGCGGATTGTGGGGGGGAAATGGGCGTCTCCATTGTGGACTTCAGGGGTTGGCTGTGACAAGCTTCTTCATACCCTAGCCCTGAGGGCCCTTTAGAGAAATGCATGAAGAAGGGTAGCCAGCTTTAAAGCGAAGGTCTGGAGTCATCCCTGTACATGGCGATGTAATCATGCCGTTCCCGCAAGCCCGCAAGTTGTGAAGAAACAATCCCACTTAAGATGCAATCAATTCAAGAGCTGGGACTTTTTGAGGCTGTCCTTCCACAAAATGGTGAGCCAGCATTTGAATCTAAACGCTCAATTACATCCTCTTCGCCCTTGCCCAAGACAGTAGATATTCATGTTGACGACATCTCCGGACAGTATTTTCAGCAATCCCCTCCCTCAATAAGATCAAACATCTCACCCCTTACCACATATAGTCCCCCTTAAGTAGATAGAATATGGCTTTGGGTATATAATAATAAGACCCCCGTTAGCCCATATTCTATCTAGTTAAGCGGGACTATACCCCTATATGGTACCACCACCTGTTTGAGGGGTTGTTGTTTTGTCACGTAACGGGGCTACTCTTAGGGGAAGGTGAATACAAGCGCCTCGGCTTGCTCCGCAGCTTAGCGCATCACCGAAAATCGTACATGATGCTGAGCTGAATGTGGGTGCTTCCCATTAGGAGTACCTTCCTTGGGGGTCCCTGTAATAAGGATTACAATGTTTTGGGGTCTATATGGGGTCCCCCCCCCATTTAGGGACACTACTATGTTTCAAGGCCCCTCGACAAAGAAAAAGGACACGTCCAATTCGGGATTCCCCAAATGCCGTTTCGTTTGGGGCAGGACTAAAACAGTCCAATCCCAACGCAAAAAGCTCTGTGGTCAACATAATGTCCTGGCCTGAAAGAGCAGTGTTGACCATTCCAATGAGACAAACCACATGTACAGGTCCCTGAATAAACCGCAAACATGCAGCCGGCAACAGGGATCATTAGGGAAGAATCCTTGGGGACCACCAAATACGATCCTAAGCCGTAAACCATAAATCCTGGGATGCTGGCCCCGCTCCGTAAGAGTTGGAGAATGAGTAGCGCATGAACACTCAAAGCCCTCATAGGACCTGTGAAAAACACTGTTCTAACGGTGACCCTATACCCTGAACCCCTGCCCCGGGTTCATGAATGTCTGCTGCTGGAGCACCTGGTCGCAGATCTGCAAATAGATATAATCCTGGAGCTTTGGGTTTAGGGTTTAGGGTTTGGGGCTTAATTTGGGTCTGAAATTTATCGCTGTGGCATTTTTCTGGCTCCTATTCACCCTCTAAAACACCGGAGCATCCAGTCCTTGCTAGCCATATAATATAGATTTGAGGGTGTAGGGTTGTTGGCCATTTTTTGCATCTAGTCCTCCGAATTTCTGCAGCGTTGAAGTGTTCGACTGTGGCCGGGGGCTCTGAATAGACCGATTTTAGTTGGCAAGTTTGTTGCTTTTTTGTCGTAGCTAGCTGCTTGTACAGTACAAGTACAGACCTGTGCCCAGAAAGCTCAAGCTGTCCTGACCCATGGCAGGACTCAAGGATCTTAATTTACTGTCCGGACGAGTAAAAAATTAAGACCCACGAATATTCCTAAGGGACTATGTGTGCATATGTACATATAAACACTCACCGAAAAGCCATGAAACAACCCTGTGCATACATCATCAGCAAAACATATCGAAACAAAGGTTGCCTCTGTAGTTCTTCGATAACTACAAAAATGACCTACACAAACCCTGTTAGAGGGTAGTTGGTCGTGAGGCCTAGTCACATCCTTGATATTGAACTTGCCTGGAGGCTCACATTGTACTCGGGGTCTCTGGTTCCGACTTCAAGCGTAATCCACCTCAAAATGGGCAGAATTCGCGCTTAGGACCTGAACTTCATAACATCGATTTAGATGCATGGGGACCCATAGTGGTTCAAAGCATCTTCTTTACTCAAAGAGAATGTAGATTTCTAGGTCGACTTCAAGCTACAATGATAGTCTCTGTATTGAAGGCCTTACAAAGCGGGAGTGCCTGACAATATATACTTCCCCGAAACCTTTTCGAAGAGTACGACTGACAAAGCCCAAGCACATACCCAGTTATTGAGTACTTGGACCGTGAACCCTAAACCCTGCACCCTAAACCCTAACCCCATAATTATGGAGTAGTTGGATCCTTATAACCCCAAACCCTGAACCCCCAATTATTGAGTACTTGGACCCCTAGGCAACCCAAACAATCCCTAAGGGTCCAATTACCAAATAGTCATATACGTCCCCCAAACCTGTACTGCAATCACTTTTACCCAAAACCCGAATACCTAGCTATTGGGTACGTGGACCCTTTAGGGAAGGGCAGTCCAACAACGCCCTAGGGATTCAAGTAAACAAATAATACCTACATTGGACCTTAAAGTCTGTAAATATTACCTACGTTGGGCTATTTGGATCCCCAAGCCCTAACCTACCCTAAGCCCAAAACCCTATATTACCTACATTAGGCTATCTGGATCCTTAAGGAATTGGCTATTTAGATCACTAGGGATGCCAGAAGGATGCCCCGAGTTTCGTGGCTTTTTCTGCCCGTGCCCCAACAGGCCCCGTTGCATGAATCTGCCCCCTAGAAATGCCCATTAAGGGCCCCTTTAAAGGGAGATATAGGGGTTATATGGGGGCAATACAGGGGTATACAGGATATATAGGGTTTAGGGTTTCCCAAAATTACGGGTACCTTTTTGGAGGGTCCCCATAATAAGGATTACAGTATTTGGGGGTCTATATTAGGCGCCCCCTATGTAGCGAAACTACCAAATGCCCACAGCGAATATTAATCACATACTTGGATGGATCCCCAGGGCTACATCTTCCATTTGTTGTAAGCACAACAGAAAGCCTCAAATCTACACTCTTGAGTTTACACTGTGGTTGCTCCTCGCTGGTCGCCAGGTGCTCCAACTCCCTCTTTGCCAAGATCTCCTTTCAGGGTCTCTGTGCTTTCATGGATTCCCCTACCGCCCTCGCCCTGAGTTCGCCCGTAATTAGTCCTAATTATGCCTTGATAATTTTAACTAAGCGGAAACCCGAGAAACTCATGGTGCAGTGCAGTTCCAGCGACCGACTTCGAGGGTACATAACCACATGGTCTCGCGTCTAGGGCTTAGGTCTTACATGTTCCAACATGGTTCTGAAGGTGGATTCTAATAGTCGAGGAAGGAATTCGTATTATGCAGTTCCCTTTGTGACCAGTCACCACTTTTTTCTGCCAAGGTCCTTCTTCGTCAGCCCCAAGTGGTGGCTCGTGTAACCCTAGGGGTCCATTTGCAAATCCCCATTTCTAGGTTCCCAAAACCGTACATGATTACAGTATTTGGGCACCCAAACCCCAGGATTCTGGTACCTTGGCCCTAAGCGTGATCGCAGACAAGCCTTAGGACTCAGGACTACGATGGATATGGTATGTCTCACGGTTTCTTAGAATGGCATGGTCTGAAAGATCCACGTTTGGGGAGATGCAAGCCGTAAAGCTTAAGGCTTAAACCCTACAACAAGGAAGTCTTCTGGACCAGGGAAGCCCTAGGAAAACGTCGTTCAGAGCCTGCTCCCTTGTTGCGGGTTCACTAGCAAGGGTTTCTATCAATTTCAGTGGCGTACCCAACCCAACACCAAACAACCATATACTTACGCAGAAGCACATATTGAATTACTATACCCAAGTCCCAAACTGGGTCCTGGGCAGGGCCCATCCTAAAACCACATAACCCTGACCCAACCCTTAACCCTATAGACCTATTTTCAGGCCATCCCTTACGCTGTCCAGCGACAGAAGAAGAAACTTGACATGGAACGCTGAAGGTGGGCACGATGAATCTGGCACCTTTTACCGAGTTGTTGTTCAGGTTTAGGGTTAGGGACTTGGGTTGTAAGGTTTAAGGATTTGGGGTTCAGGGTTTAGGGATTTGGGGTTCAGGGTTTAGGGATTTGGGCTTTAGGGTTTGGGGATTTGGGGTTTAGGGATTTAGGGTGGTTTAGGGTTTACCATACTAATAGGTATATAGTAAATCATAAGGCTTCCTTACTGTTGTAACCCTAAGGGTCCAAATAACTAATAATCATATACTTCCCCCAAACCTGTACTATCATCATTAGTACCCAACAACCCAAGTAACAAATTATTGCGTACGTTACTTAAACTCCTTAACAGCAACCCAGCTTCACGGCATTGTGAGGGCATCCTAGGGTCCCTGTATAAGGGTTATGTATTAGGTGGGCCCCCCCCCCCAGTGATGGTGACAGGATAGGTTTAAGGTTTCGGGTTTAGGGTAATCCTAGCCTAAATTGGGCCCCTAAACCCTAAACCCTAAACGTGTCTGGCGGCAAAGACATCCGGGAGCAACTGCGGGGCGTGTTCTGGCAAGGTGTCAAGGCCACTCGCAATGTGTGAAGCTGAGAAAGTCAACATGCAAACCAGGGATTCATAGGAGCTGTAGCCTAAACTCCTTACACGAGTTATATAGGGGATTATATAGGGAGTATTGTAGGGGTTATGGGGTTATGAAGGTGGATACTAGGAGTTTAGACAATAGCTCAAATGGCGATGTCTATGGTACTACCAGCACTTGACAGAAAGCTGGAAACCCTTTAGTTCTGTTGTTGATGACGAGCTAGACGCTGTAAGCCATCAGCGTTTGGGTACCTTACCTGCATGCAACACACTGCAAAACTTGTTGCCCCCATAATAAGTTGCATTGCATACTGCGTTGCAAACTGACGTCTACTACCTGTATGGATTATCTTTGGCGACTTTTGTTTAATCATTCAGGCCCGGACATGGAACTAAACACATTTCTGGGTTGGCCCCTAAAACCCTTTGAAAAATATTAGTATATAGGGTCCCTTATTAAAGCCATTAGGGAAAATATTACATATCCCAGGGGCCCACCCAGATTGGTCATAGTTGCAAACCCAAGCATCTTCATGGTGTTGCGAAATTGAAGCCACCCCAGGCAAGGATGACGGCAATGGCACTACTATTGGCCTATAGTCCCCGGTAAGTAGATAGAATATGGCTTTGGGTACATTATAATAAGACTCCATATACCCCACATTCTTTCTACTTAAGGGGGACCATATCTAGAAGCTTTAGCAGGCACAACTCATGGGGACCCGCTTGGCTGATTGAGGAGCCTGGAACTCTGCAAGAACTTGGACTTGTTTAGTATCAACGGTTGCAGTAGATTCCGTTGCAGTATCCATCACGTGTTTGGGAATGTCTAAAACATCTAAAACCCCACACCTTTAAAATCCTCCAGGTACCCTTCATCGAGCCCAAGTACTCACAAGTATGACCTACGTACATTCCGCAGATTTCCCTATGACCTTCAAAACCATCGGTTCCCCAATGCTACGGCTGGATTGTCCTCGGTGAGTGCTGCTTTGAACACAGGCTTATAGATGCATGTTTACTTGAAGGCCATACAGCGGCTCACCCTTGTGGTTGATATGTAGGGATTATATAGGGCTTATAGCGGTTGAGGTTTAGCTTTAAGGAGTTTAGATAGGAATGGAAAAAGAATATGGAACGTACTGCTTAGCGTTTTGGGTTTATGGATACTACCCCAACAGTGGAGAATCACATGAACAAAAATAGAAAAGAACATGAGCACTCGGATGTTATAGAGCTTTATGGAGTTGACACTACAACAAACTCTTGCAGTGCCGTAGTAATTTTACTGTAGCACTGTAATTTTCTGGGAATAAAGGACTTAGTATCCACAGTGACCATCACATTTTTCATTGTCGGACGACAGGTATTGTGCCGACCCTTACAGAAAGGACTGACAGCATTGTCCATACCTGAGCGTCGACACCTGAACTTCTGTTGAGCACTGAGGCTACTTCAACAGAAGGTGCGCACGCGGCTACAATTCTGCTTATGCCAGTACAAACACCAAAGCCCTAAGAACTCAGGAAAAAAACAGTTAACTTCCGTCTCCTAATCAAACCTGACGATGGCTTTTTTGGAACAACTCCGTATAAACACTGAACATGCTTGCAGAGGTGCGGAGTACGCCTGATCGGCACGGCCATAGTGCCTTTGTTGGCCACACCATGGAAACTTGCGCTTAGAGTTATGTGATTGGGTTTGGAAGGTCTTCATTTTGTGCATAGGCTTGTTGGGTTTAGGGCTAAGCTTTAGGATGGCGCAGGGTTCAAGATCTAGGTGTTCTTTTCCTCGCAGGATGCCTTGGGCCGTGAGGACGCGTTAAACTGAATCCGCTAAACGGGACTAGCCCAACCCACTGAAATTGTGTTCAGAATTGGAGGTCGTTTGGAAAAGGAGCTCCCTTCAGGGTTCTTTTCGGGGCCACGCACCCTCCAAATCTCAAACAGGAATCATGGTCACGGTTTACTTTTGGTTGAAAAGCTTTAGGGTGAAACACTTAACTGTTCTTTCTACCAGAGATTTAGGGGAGGTTCCAATCAACCGCACAACTCATCTTCCAGGCTAGAAGAACCCTAAACCCTAAACCCCTAAGACCTAAACCTAGTGGCGGATGCGTATAGTAGGCTTTACTTGTAATACCTCATCTTGTGTGCCCTCCAAATATCCCCCAAAAATGATTGCATAGCACATACGGAAAAACCAACAGGGACCCATGATTTCGAGAATCCTGCAAACACATAAGCTTAGTATATCCTTGCTGGGAAGGCCCAAACATTCGAGAGCTTGTCACATCAATTGAAAAGCAAGCCTGGAGGCTGTTAGCAATCCACCACGTTGGATGTTTGGTTTGGGGTTCTACATCCCGGAGGTAACAATGTGCAAGATCAAGTGCCTATCCATGAAAGAAAGGCAGAGATTGCCCTTTCGCACGGAGGACGGTACGCCTTTACGTGGAGCCTATTCACTCTCTCTTTGCTTTGCTCTCCCTCCCCCCTTCTTCTTCTTCTTTTCGGAGCTCTCCTACTCTCTCTCTATCTCTCGCTCCCTCCCTCCCTGTCCCTCCCCCGAGATATGTACTTGCAAATATCTCCACCACAGTTCCGAAAGAAGAGGCTCGTCTAAATTGTGCTTCCAGCGGCTGTCTGCAGAGGCATTGATACAAGCTGAGAAGCTCAGCATCGCCTGCGCGTAGGCAAACTATGTTCAGACTACACTGATGATCATCAAACCTCACCTCTCTGCTCTTCTGGCCACGTAAGGGACACCTACATTTACGAGCCCCCAAGCTCGAGCCCAAAATCAGATTCGACCGGACCTACTCCAATCGTCGAGGGCTCTCCTTATCACGTCTGAATCCCTTGTCCGTTGCCTCTTGTTTAGTTCCTATGGTTTAAATTTTTCGCGGTGACAACGATCTGTAGCTCCATTTGGAGACAGCTTTGTAATGGCGACTCCTTGATTGCTCCGTATGACCCCCGAAATTGTGAATAATTGGAGGTGTAGGCAACTTGCAAGTGGGTACGTCTGGATGTATTAGGCCAACTATGGGATGACCCCTATTTGGCTAGCTATTGGCAATCCATCTGAATACCACTTATCTACAGCATGCAAGCTAGACCTTAATCTCGAATGCATTTGTTCTGGCCCTTTCTTCTCATACGAAATGAGGTGCCACAGGGATTTCTCAAACGTAGCACGCCGTTGTGGTCACCCACCCCGCAAACAAAAGACCTACGGTTTTTTGCTTCCAAACTACAGACTCCTGCTTCAAACCAATAAGAACCCAAACCATGGATCTTTTGGAGTTGAAGTACAACCTAAACAAAAGAAGATCAGATTTGTGGCTTATGTTCTGTGGGGTCAATCCTACACCCTGAACCCACAGGATTCAGGGTTGGACACCATGCACGCCGCCTGTCAGCCTCTGCACCAACTCCAGTACCTGGCAGTTTTTGGCCGGGCTCTCTTTTTTACTCTCTTCTAGAGGATCGAAAGCGGGATCTGAAGCCCTGTTATTTGCGTACTTGGCCCC